TGACTTCAAATGGTAGTAATGTTCCCTCTTTTTACCATAAAAGCTGCTATAATATAAAGTGTAATTTATTTGTAATAACTAGGAGCAACAGTAATGAATGCTTCTTCTTAACAGAATATTTATATTTTAATTTTAAAGTGGACAAGTGAAAAAATAACTTGCGGCTTGATCCAGAAACATCTTCTTGCTAAAACTTCAAACAGTCCCCTTCTGCTATCCCTGAAAGCTGATTTTACATGGAGATGACCTCTAAACTACAAGTTTTCCTCATCAAGCTGTCTGAAATCAATTTGACTATACTGTGTATTTGTCTATATGAATGCTATTTTACACTAAGGACTGAAACTGTTACCCTGCAAGCTTACATGTATCTGTTTTATAAATAGTCACACTGATCAGTACCAGTCAAACCTTAAGTCAATTCAGTGCAACTTTCCAGGACGTAGATCTTCCTTAAAGTTTTAAGCCTGGTAAATATTTACTTACTGTCAGAATTTTGTTTCTTCATGGGAGTAATTAATTTTTTTCTTTTTAATGTAATTGTCAGTATGATGAAAAACAGCAGATTATATTTCCATTTCCGCAGAAGAAGTGGAAGATTAGACAATAGTTTACTTTGGGAGTAGTAGTTGTTTATATGTGGTATTACCTTTGCAACAGTTTTCTGACAGTGTCCTCTGATATGGTATGTTACAGGCTGCTTGCACGTAATACAGAATGAGGGAATAATACTGAGCTTCCACTATAACTCCATTGCACTGATATAAACATAATAATGAATGGCATCTACACAGCAAGGCTGGACAACATTAACTGCTCTTTTAGTAAAATATAATACTTGTTCATCTTCTTAGGATAGGTTTATGTTTTAATTTTAAAAAAAGTTGTATATATTACTTTTGATTTTGTAAATTAATGAACAAAACTTGTAGATGTATAGTACAGAGTGTCCTGTGTATGATAATAACAGTTTTATTGAGAACAATCATGCCAAGTTTAGCACATTTTTTTTATGTAGTATCACTGTTTATAGGCACCTGCAAGATAACATTGCTTGTGGACAGAGAGACTTATATGTAATAAATAAGTAAATAAATAAGATAAAAGTAATACACATTTAGCCATACTTGTGATCAAAATTCCCCATAGTAAATTTTTCAGCATCATGATGATTCGATCGTATGAAGTTATCTGCTTCTTTCTATCCTAACACAGAAAGATCAACTATCAGGTTCCTGTCATTTATATAACATGGTATTTTAAAAACTTCTTCACTAATAGAGATTCTCTTATTCTTACACTTACAAAGCTTTCCTTGTCTCCAATCTAATTCCCTGTATTGTATCCCTTCCTGTTTTCTGGATTTGCTGATCCGTAATGTTCCATGCAGAGGAGAAACAGATTGATCTCTTCCTATTGAAACCAGTCTTTTATGTATTTAAAGACTGTAACTGATTATGTCCTGATCCCAGACAGCGACTGCATGTGTCTAGGCTAAAGAACCTCCATTTTTATGGAGGATTTAACTAATATGATGTCTCTTCCTAATGGTCTTAGACATCTCTCATAATTTGACCTAAAGTAGCAAAATTGAAAGTACAAATTTGGAAAACAGAAATAAAGAGATTCACATTGCACATTGGATAGTCTCTTCAGTAGTAATTGCATACCTTCTTATTTGTGTTTTCTTATAATATTTTTTCTAGGTCGTTTTATTAAAAAATTAGGTTAACTTTTCCAGAACTCCAGTGTCTATAGCAAACGACATTTTCAGCCTATGCTCAAATGCACTGAACCTTTCATTCTTAGACCAAGAATGTTGTCCAGTATTCTTTCTACACTGGAATGTACCTACTAAATAACAACAAGACTGGGGATAGACTTGTATTAGTACAGAAATTCTGCTAAATTGTAAATCTGGAACCAAAAATTTTTGGCAAGTGATCATGTTAGAGACTTGATATTTTTATTTAAAAAAAAAGGGAGCTGAGGGGGCTCATTTGAAATACACAGCTAAACCGTAGCAGTTTAACAAGTTATTATGCTGTAAAAGGTCATTTATCCTGTTTCATTTTAAACTACTGCACCTTAGATTGAACCATATTGAAAGTCATTTAAGTAATACATTCTATTTCACACTTGGAGTAGGCAAACAAGGTGTTTATGGACAGTTGTGATGTCTTAATGGCTACTGATGACTTCTTAAGCACCCAGAAATAGATCCTGGTTTTGAACCCTACATTAGCAGTTTTACACATTCTTAGAGAAATATTGCATTTCCTCATTATGGCAATTACAATTACCATTTAACTGTGGTAATTCCACTTTAGGCAGCTCTTAAGTTGCAAAAAAGGCTTTTTATTAGCATTGGGGAATTTAGCTCCAATACCATTGTTTCCTTATTTTGTTCTGTGTTTAGCAAAACAGAATGCTGTTTATAGTGTTGTAGTACCAAGCTATGTGGCTGGTTTTTGTTTACTTTTGTCTGTCCTAATCAACATTATTGTTGGCAGGAATGAATTTAGCTAAGGGAATTTCTTTCATTGTTGCAACACTTGGTCCTTATATAATGTTTGAAGAATTTCACCATTGAAAATGCTTTCCTGACATGAAAGTTGTTTATCTGGGGAAAACTAATTCAAATACAAAAAATAATTATTTTATATAATTTATCAAAAAATGTTGTGATTGAATTTACTTTTCTCTACAGAGTATAATAAATGATACCTCAAAATACACATATTTATACACACGTACGTACATGTATAATATCTCAAATACCTTTTTTAGATAGAAGAAATGGACCTGATTTGAAAAAAGCAAATGGAATGGGAATATGTAGAGGGAGCAACCAATTTAAGTCATAATGAGTTTAGAAGGAAATGCCTGTGATATCTCTGAAATCAATGAAATTAGAAAAATCTTACAGTGTCTTACAGAAAAGGATTGGCTGGTATTTCACTGCTTTTGTAAAAGGAAATTCTTAGGACTCCCATTAGGTTTGTATACTGTGGCAAGATAGGAATTTTATGAATTAAAATTACAATTCTACCAGGATTACTTTCTCATGAATGTTCTAAATTTAAAATATTTAGGAGAAGAGTCAATCTGCTGCTGCCAGTGGCACCGGGGTGAGGGAAGAAGTGCTTGTTCAGCTGTAGAGCCTCGTGACACAGCCATCTCAGTGGATCCACCAGGCTTTCAGGTTCTGCTCAGCTTAGTGGGTTGGACATTGAATGACTCCGTTAGACACTCAGGTGTCAGTGCCTGTGTCATCCGCTATTACCTAGGCTACGTTAGAACCAGTATGGATGCAGAGTGTAATTGCAGTTCAGGTTACATCTCCCTTCAAAAGCTTTGATTCACTCCCACTTATGCTTAATGTAAAGCAAATTTCTTTGAAAGCTAAAGCAACTGTTTTACATCTGAGCCATAATTTATTTTGTTCTTGACCTAGAGAAATGCTTTTGACTATAGGTCGAATAATTTATTGTTTAACAGAGTTTAGGAACTACTGCCTTGACAATTAAGGTTCTTTGTAATGCACGTTCAGAAGTGCACTCGTTGGTGCCAGCCTTCGCAAAGTTTGACAATAGATTGCCAACTCTTTCAGTTTGTAATTGGTGGATGATAAAGGTACTCAAGGAAACAGACTTTAATTAGTCTCTCATGTCATATACAGAAATGATCTGTCGATTTTTAACGTGGTGGGTAGTGGATGTGAACCAGATTTGTGCATCTTTAAATATATGTACTGTAGCTGACTTTGCAGATATTCTGTGAGTAATTCCTATGTTCTTGGTATATAAATTCTTTCTGTTCGGTATAAAACCTGTCTGAGTAACTAAATTCACTAACTGTTTTTATTTTAGGCAGGTAATCTGCCCCATCAAGAATTAGGAGTGTGTTGGTATTTACAGTATAACCTGGAATAAGAAGACAGAAAAAAACTTCATTTAGATGTATTTCATTCAAACCAGAGATCTGACAATTTTTTTTCTCTCTCTCTCTTTTTGGTACATGCTTCAAAACTTGGGATACTTGGATAGATTCCAAAGCTTCCAGTAATCAGTAATGAATATATTGTTTTAAAGTACTTTTTGTTGCGTTCCTTTTATTCTGCATTCTGGAAATTACACTACTGCAAAACATACCAGTTTATGTCTCAAGCTGTGGCTATAATTGTGTTTTTTTCACTGCATGTGATAAAACAGAGTAGTGCATTGATGTAAGACTGAACAGAATCTTTTGTAACAGATGAAGAGTTTCTCGGTTGTGTTTTCAGAACAAAGTCTTAGTTCTTTAGGCTGGGGGCATGAAAAAAACTTTCAGTAACTTTTGTGCTGCAGAAAAGAAAAAGGAAAAAACACAAGTTACCTATATTACCTCAGGGTTTTTAAAAATCTTTTTTAGTTTAAACAGCATGTAATCTGATTTCAAAGCTACAACTTCTCTGCATTGAAGTAAATGATTGTGATTAAGTTTGGAAGCATTGCTTTATGTGCCTAGTAATTTCAGTCTCAAGAAATAGGTATTTCATAATGAGCTATCATTTAGGCATTGCATCTTAGGCAGAGCTGAAATGTATTTCTTTTGGCCTCAAGGCATGTTTTTGGCAATTGTCTGGGGAGAGATCATAGAATCATGGAATAATATAATATGGAGGACATCTGCTCCAGGAGGGTCTAATTAAATCATCTTACTCAGGAGCTTGTGTTTGAAAAAATTATCAGCAGTAGCTAAGGGACACACTTACTTCTCTCTCATTTGCTAGTGGATACTGCCTTGCTCACAGGAAGGCAAATGAACTTTCTTGCTTAGGGAAAAAAACATTTTCAGAATATAGTGATAAATATTTTCATACATGAAAAAATATATATCCTATTTGGTACTAGTCTGACAAATGGTCCAGTCTGTCCTCAGAATTTTATTATACATTATTTGTAGCGTACAGTGATGTATTTCACAGCATAGTAAATTCTGATGGGTTTGTATTGCAGTTTCCTGAATGTGGTTTCTACGGAATGTATGACAAAATCCTGCTCTTCCGCCATGACCCTACCTCTGAAAACATTCTCCAGTTGGTGAAATCAGCTGCAGATATCCAAGAAGGAGACCTAGTTGAAGTTGTCTTATCAGGTAACTAAAAAACAGTAAAAAATTACTGTCCTGCTTTTGCAACTGAAAATATCCACAGTAGTTTTCTCCTGGTTAGATTTTGATCCAGCATAGGTGAGAGTCCATAGAAATAAAATTTCCTTTTTCTTGATTCCTCTCTCAGATGCCTATAGGCATATTATGCCTTTTTTTTTTCCTCTTGCACTGTATACTTTGTAAAACCCTCTTTTGTACATGTTACTATTTAAGTAGTGGGTTAATGTTAATAAACTTTTACTTTATGTGAAGTGCCATGAGATTGTCCACTGGAAATATAGTAATTGCTTTCTCAAAGCCTTGTGTAATTATGTCTGCGAGGACTGCTTTGACTCTTTACATGATTTATTTTTTTAAACTTATGAGAGGAAAGGGAGAGAAAAATTTAAATTCTAAGTAGAAAAGAAAAAAAAAAGATATGCTTTGTGTGGATGACTGTCCAAAATGAGTGCTGGATGCTTCATGTACACAATTATTGATTCTGTGAAAGATATGGAAATTGAAAAGGTGGAACAAAAGAGAATAACTATTTAGGACCTAGGAAATAAAAAAGTCAGAGGGAAGAAGGTCATGCAAAGCCAGGGAATGAAAGTTGTAGTCTGAAGGTGACTAGAAGGTGAAGGGGGATTTGAGAAGAGATGTAGTATGAGTGAATCATGAGGTAAAAGGCCAAATTTTGGAGGCAGTCAAATGGCAAATGGATTTTAGAAGCATGTTTGGCCAGCAGAGTAGTCATGAAGAATGGATTGCTATAACTGAAGAAGGAAATAAGCACAAATTATGTGACTGGAATATGGAGGAAGTCTAGGGATGTCGTGGAATGTCAATAAGACTTGTCAAAAGCTTACATCTAAGATATGAGGTATGTGACTAGGATTGATGCAGAGTTTACAAGGACATGCAGTAGAGTGAATGCTGGAATTGTGAAGATGTAGAGGTGTTATTTGACAAATAAAACTTGGAAGATGGCTGAAAGGCTGTATTTTTGCAATTGCAACATGCAGTTAGAGCGTCTGGAAAGAGGCTAAAAAATACAGAAAAGCATATGTCATATGAAAGTAGAAATTGAAACTATAGGAGAGTGTAGGATTAGTGAAGAGAAAGGCAAAGTCTTAATGGATGCTGAAAAGAGTGGAAGAAGTAAGACTTAGGTCACATAATCTAATCTAAGTTAACTGAGCTTTTAAATATAGTTTTCTTGTGTAGCACCCTATTCTATACTCTTTGATTCGAATAGGAAAAAGTACAATAAGGAGTAATGCAAGTCATTCCTTAGGTCATTATTCATCTTTTCCATATCAGGAAACAATTTTTTCCCTTTCCAAAATATATCAATTTTCTCTTTAATATTTCCCACATAAAGTAATTACTCCACATCAGTAATTAGGATGCAGTGAAAAAAGAAGATATCAAAGACTTTAGTACTTTATTTGATATATTGTTTATTGCTTTTGAAATGGAGACCATGTATCTTCTAGTTTGCCAAAATTAGGCAAGTAGGTGTTTAATCTTTAAGAGCGAAGGACAGCAAATGAAACTTGTAATATGTCATGGCCTAACTGATGGCACTATTCAGATGTCTCAAATTATTCAAGAAGTTAAACACATTTCCTGTGTAAACACTTAAGAGCATCAGTGCCCTTCCACAGATGAGCCTTAACTAAATGCAGCAATTCATTTTTGCAGACAGTTCCTGTGTTATGTAGGGGAGGAAGGTATTTCGAGTTCTGCAGCACTGAAGAAGAGAAGGAACTGCATAAGCAGTCTGTAATATGTGGGGAATTATTCAAACTAATGCAGGCAGTTTTTGTTGAAAAATATCCAGACGTAGTTTCAAATTACCAAAGATTTTGGCAATTTGTGATGTAATTTGTGATAGTGCCTGTCAAGTCAACTGTAGATGGGTTATCTCTCATTTTTAATTAAAAGAAAAAGTGTCTAAATGCAGGGCCATAAGAAATCTTTTTCAGGATGTTTAATAACGTACGATGAAAAATTATTTTGAAGGGAGAAAAAACCTGAAAACGGGAGAGATTGCTTTGAGCACTACAGTGTGTGATACTGAGCACTTAAACAGTGGGAAGGAAAATGAAATGCAATATATGTTCAGATGCATATATTGAACTGGTTGAAGTGTTTTATTTCCAGCCTTCATTAAAAATTTCTAAACAGAATATGCATTCTAAAGTCCTGTAAAAGCAAGGTTTATTATAACAGTTGTTCTTGAATGGCACATTTGAAAGAGAGTTGAACACAGTGTTAGTGCTGCAGCTTAGCTGCTGAAATCTCCTTGTGCTTTGGGTCAATATCCCCTGAGGCACTGATATCTGATGTCAAAAGCTGCACTGATTGACTGCCTTCATTTTTTATTGCACAGGTCAATACTGGGCAGAGTAGAGAAAACTGAATTGTTAGTCCTAGTTACTACAGGGTTATACAATCAGTTCATATCCTAGTGGTATGCATTTTCTAATTTTCATTGTTGTTTACTCAATAACAAGTTTTTTTTTTTAAAAGGCTGGACAACCTGTAGTGTTTTCTTTTTTCTTATTCCTCTTATGTTCTTCAAGGTTTAAACATTAATAAGTGTGATCATCATCTGGTTTAGAGCTTATATTGTAGGTTCTTAAAAGAGTTGAAAGTTATCTACAAAAACTTATAGTAGAGAGGGGTTGCTCACTGTAGCTGAAGCAATTTAGTCCATTTTAGAGAAGAAAATTGTACTTGTGGATGTCATGCTGTATAACAGAAACAGTTTGTGTTAGACATTTCTGGTGAAACACAAAATATTTATTCAAGTCAGAATGCAGCACCTGCTGTGCTTTCTTATTCCTAATGAACATTATTACTTGCTTTCTGCATTGGAGAAGTATGCAGTAGGATTTTAATAGAGTGCAAGAATCATGTAAGCTGCTGAACAAGTGTTGTGTGTCAGTCTACTGACTGGTCCGGAGGAGATAAGCACAGGCTGTTGCAGTCAGCCAGATGAATTGTGGTTCAGTGCCAGTATAGATTCTGGCATTCTGGAAGTGAAAGGACTGGCATTATTGTAAGAGTGGAAGCATAACTGTGTGTTGAGTTGCAGATTTGGTTAGCTGCACATTAAAAGAGGAAAAGAGAACTTTTGTTATGAACATTAGTAGCTCTCATAAATACAGTTTTAACTTCTTATTTTCTTCTTTCTATATGTTTTTTTAAAATATCTGAACACTTTGTTTCAGTTGACTATATGGGATTCTTGATAGTATTTGTATAATAACATGGGGACACTTGAAAAATGTATTAAACCCACAAATTTGTGTGTTGAATGCATTGGTTTCTTAGGCTGCACTCCTGGGCATTCATTGAACAGTACCGCTAATACCCTTCTGTCAGTAATGTAGAGCTTTATATGTTTCTGTTTTCTTAGCTGTGCATTTTCTATTTCATTTTTCTCCAAAATGTTGGAAAGTTCATCTTGTCTTCATATGCACAAAAGAGGAAAATCCTTCACTACTGCTGTGGAAATCTCCACTAATGTGCTTATTGAATCCAGCATGTACTTCGTTTTATTGCATTTCAGACTGAAAGGGATACAAATCTTTTAAGAAAGGATTTTATCAAGGTATATTTGTAGGAAGGATTCCTTTTGGTTCTAATACTGTCAGAAATGAGTAGGCAGCCCAAAATCAGGAAACAAGGTATAGAAGTTGCAGTCAAAGTTACAATCAAAGATGTCTGTAAATGAGTAGTCAGTCATTTATAAACACTGACAGGAAGAGAAACCAGAAGTTGCATCTGTTTAGGTCTCTCTCTCTCTCTAAAATGCAGTCTTAGTGTTTGCTCAGGAAAAGGAAGCAGATCTGTGTGAAGTGAGTTGAATCTGAAAAATGTTCTTCAGGCTTGATGTTATCAAGTAATATTTGCCAGAAGCTTCAACTGAAGCTCTGAAAAGTTAACTTTCATGTTTCACTTGTGAAATAAAGGATGCAAACATGAATTACCAAAATAGCATAATGTAAAATTCACAATGGATTTGAACAGAATGGAATATTTTTGCTGTGATAAACTCTCTTCTTGAAGTTAGCTCCTAGGTTTTTGGAGATATTAAGTGTTATTTTGACTAGATTTTAAAAATAATTTTTTCAACTGCAATTTGTTAATGCTGATGAATTGATATTAATGATAGAGAGATGCTGTCCTTCATACCCTTTCTTTCTGGAGAAGGTAAATAATTAACAAGTTTTTACATTAAGTTGTTACATGAGATCTAGATTGTAAATCAGAGGATCACAGAATATGCTGAGTTGGAAGGGACCCACAAGGATCATTGAGTCCAACTCTGGTCTTGCACGGGACCATCCCCAAGAGTCACACCATGTGTCTGAGAGTATTGTCCGAACACTTCTTGAACTCTGTCAGGCTTGTGCTGTGACTACTTCCCTTGGGGAGCCTGTTCCAGTGCCCAACCACCCTCTGGGTGAAGTTAACCCCTTTCTAAAAGGAAAGATGTTTTGAAGTTACTATTTTAAGCTGTCTGTAGGTAGCACTTCACATGTGTACCCGTGACCTTTTTCAAGTTAACTGTATTTGCTCTTTTTCCCTTAAATGGAGGCACTTACTGTGCAGAACAAGCTGACAGATGAGAGCTGGGACTCTGTACATCTGTATTCTCTTTTTGAGTTCTGTTTTTCTAAGACTTCAAGGAAACAATTGCTTTAGGTGCCTTTAGACTTATGTTCTTGCCAGCATAGTTTATGTCCTATCCTATACCTCGTTCATGAAGTTTATTAAAAACTGCTATGTAAATTTGCTAAGTCTATTCATGATATAGAGAAAAAAACCCAATGGTATAGTTACAGTTTTAATGTGAGTTTGCTTATAAAAAAATCTAGCTTGTTTTTATTGGGGCAAAGTTACATTGGAATGTAAGAGGTTTTTGTCTGCTGCTGGAAGGCGGACAATGAAACATAAGCCTCTTGTGCGAATTAGTGGAATGTACTTCA